TTTCATTAGATTAGGAGAGCTACATGACCCACGGCTTCTCAGAAACTCAAAGCAAAGTTCTTATAGTTGCTCACTCTGGCTTTTCTCAGTCCAGTTTTCTGTGATGTACCATCACCCCTTCTTTCCCTCCACACCCCCAAGACCACTACTACTGTTATATGGGACTTTTTCTTTTCCATATTTGTTACGTGGAATACATACATACATACATGATTCAATGTAATTGTACTGGGACTGTGGTAGACATCTGTAGTGTTCGACTACCTGAAAGCTATTTACCCCTTTTGTGGTAATAGAGTGTCATTATTTCTCGGTTGCTTCGTTTCTGCCATTCTCAGTCCATGTGGTTTAGAGGGAATTAGTCCTGGTCTTTTAGAGTCAAGGGTGGGAACAATGACACAGGCCAGGCCAATCAATGTGCTCTGTTGCTCTGGTCACTGTAACTGGATCAAGAATGAGCCATGATATTAACATAAGGTCTATCAAAGCCTTTCGCTACCGTGACTGTGAAGACGGTGTTAATTTTCAGAATATGGGCATGAGAAACTAGAGTTTTAGGCTGCCATTTTGTTCCACAGGAGACGGTGTCTGACAATGGAGCCAACCCAAAGGAAAGCAGACCTGAGATGTGAAGACAGGGAAACAGATACCTGATGACTTCTTTGAATCCCAGATTTAGTTGTGTTAGATGTGGGTTCTACCTCAGGACTTCAACTACATGGACTGATAAATTCCCTTTTGTGCTTAAACTATCGTAGTTGGGGTTTGCTGGACCTTACGATCCAATATGGGTTCACAAATGTAATGATTTTTTTTTCTGATTTTATTTATTTATTTACTTATTTAATTTCATTTTATGTTATTTATTGCTTAATTTACATCCAAGTTAGTTACCATATAGTGCAACAATGATTTCAAGAGTAGATTCCTTAATGCCCCTTTCCCATTTAGCCCTCCCCCACCACAACCTCTCCAGCAACTGTCTGCTCTCTATATTTAAGAGTCTCTTATGTTTTTGTCCCCCTCCCTATTTTTATATTATTTTTGCTTCCCTTCCCTTATGTTCATCTGTTTTGTATCCTGAAGTCCTCATATGAGTGAAGTCATATGATATTTGTATTTCTCTGACTCACAAATTTTGCTTAACATTATACCCTCCAGTCCATCCATGTAGTTGCAAATGGCAAGATTTCATTCTTTTTGATTGCTGAGTAACACTGCATCATATATATATATATATATATATATATATATATATATACACCACATCTTCTTTATCCATTCATCCGTTGATGGACATTTGGGCTCTTTCCATACTTTGACTTTTGTCATAAACATTGGGTGCATGTGCCTCTTCAAAACAGCACACCTGTATCCCTTGGATAAATACCTAGTAGTGCCATTGCTGGGTCATAGGGTAGTTCTATTTTTAATTTTTTGAGGAATCTCCATTCTGTTTTCTGGAGTGATTGCATCAGTTTGCTTTCCCACCAGCAGTGCAAGAGAGATCCTCTTTCTCTGCATCCTCACCAACATCTCTTGTTGCCTGAGTTGGTTTTAGCCATTTTGACAGGTGTGAGGTGGTATCTCATTTTGGTTTTGATTTATATTTCCCTGATGATGAGTGATGTTGAGCATTTTTTCATGTGTCGTTTGGCCATCTGGATGTCTTCTTTGGAGAAGTATCTATTCGTGTCTTTCGCCCATTTCTTCACTGGACGATTTGTTTTTTGGGTGTTGAGTTGTATAAGTTCTTTATTGATTTTGGATACTAACTGACTATCTGATATGTTGTTTGCAAATATCTTCTCCCATTCCATCGGTTGCCTTTTAGTTTTGCTGATTGTTTTCTTTGCTGTGCAGAGATGCTTTTTATTTTGACGAGGTCCCAGTAGTTCATTTTTGCTTTTGTTTCCCTTGCCTCTGGAGACGTGTTAAGTAAGAAATTGCTGCAGCCGAGGTCAAAGAGGTTTTTGCCTGCTTTCTCCTCGAAGATTTTGATGGCTTCCTGTTTTACACTTAGGTGTTTCATCCATTTTGAGTTTTTTCGTGTGTGTATGGTGGAAGAAAGCGGTCCAGGCTCATTTTTCTGCATGTCTCTGTGTAGTTTTCCCAGCACCATTTGCTGAAGAAACTGTCTTTATTCCATTGGATATTCTTTCCTGCTTTGTCAAAGATTAGTTGGCCATACGTTTGTGGGTTCATTTCTGGGTTCTCTATTCTCTTCCATTGATCTGAGTGTCTGTTTTTGTGCCAGTACCATACTGTCCTGATGATTATAGCTTTGTAATACAGCTTGAAGTCTGGGATTGTGATGCCTCCACCTTTGGTTTTCTTTTTCAAGATTGCTTTGGCTATTCGGGGTCTTTTCTAGTTCCATACAAATTTTAGAATGGTTTGTTCTAGCTCTATGAAGGATGCTGGTGTTATTTTGATAGGGATTGTTATGATGATTTATTTTTTACCATTATAAATTCTATTTGAAAGTAGGCAGGACACATATCAAAATAAATGCACACTATATGCAGATTTTTATTCTTAAGATAACAATTAATCAAGACAAGGTTTTGATATTCCAGTGGTTATGTCGGTCACCAATGCTTCTTTCACAAGGACTGAAATATAGTATCATTACAATTCATCCTTTCTTTGTTTTCTTTTTGCTCATTGGGTAGAACATAGCAAAATAAAAAATGTGCTCATTTTCTTCCACTTTGGTAATAAATCTGGAACCATTGTCAATAGAATACTTTTAAATTTCTAATAAATGGATCCTATGCACATCACACCTTTTTGAAACAAAGATGTTTCAGCTTTTACAACTTCAAGATGCTCAAGTTAAATTTAAAAGTCTTTTCTGGACCAGTTATAGCACTCTGGGACTTCCCTGCTACCTTACTTATGTAGAGCTATCTCTGATTTCTTTTCCAATAATGCCAAGTACATGAACCATTCCTGATTAGCTTTACTTGTCCTTCTGTTGTGGATTGCCAGTCTAATTTTTATTATTTAGATTCAGTGCTTCAAGATTTGGCATAACTTTATGCATGGTCCTCGTCAAAGGTTCAAAGTTTGGTCTAAAGTCTTATGTGTGTGTGTGTGGAAGGGGAGTGATGCACGCCCCCACACATGTGTGTGTGTCATGGAATTAGTTTCATTTCTTAAAAATGGTTTCCAGTTATACTTTCTGTTATTAACTGAATGTTTATGTCTCCCCAAATTTGTGTTCAAGTCATAACCCCCACTGAGATAATATTTGGAGATATGGTCTTTGTGAGATAATTGGGATTAGAGTGGGTCATAAGGGTAAGGCCCTCATGATGGGATTAATGGCTTTGTAAGAAGAGGGAGAAAGAGAGAGACAGTTCTTTCTCTGCCACCTAAAGACACAGCAAGAAGGCGGTTATTTGCGACCCAGGAAGAGAACTCTGACCAGCCAGTACCTTGATCCTGGACTTCCCCGGCTCCAGAACTGTGAGAAATAAATTTCTGTTGTTGAAGCCACACAGTCTATGGTACTTTGTCTTGGCAAGCCCAAGCTAAGACACTTCCTATGGATGTTTCCAGTCTGTCTGGCATCGAATATATTGCAGAGTCTGTCTTTTTTTATATGCTAACTGTAATAGTTTAGGGAAAAAGTCTGCTAAAATTGAGAATAAATAACCAAACTTGTAAAGTTGCATCTTATCTTCATGACGGAACGAAGATATTCCATTAAAAGGCAAATCTTCCCTTTCAAAAGCTTGAATAGGAGGGCTCTTTAAAAAGAAATACATCTGCTTAAATATAGGTTGCTGGAGATACAAAAATCTAAGAAAGCTTTTGGCTTTTATCCCATAGATTTTCATTTGAGGGTGAATCGGATGCATTTTAATTCAGGCATAATTTGGAAGCGTTCGTCTTGTTTCCTACCCCCTTTACTGATGGGCAAACAAGCACGTACAGTCTGTTAGTTTCATCAGGATCACGTTCATCCTTTACATCACCTGTGTTTTTCTGGAGGCAGTGTTGTTTGGTGAAAGAACATTGGTTTCAGAGTCCAAAGACCCGTTGTAGTCCTTTTTTTTTTTTTTTTTTCCTGTTTTCCTGTCAGTAAAAAGAAGACATAGATGCCTAATTTAGCTCACGTGACTTTTTTAAGGATTACATGAGTAATTCCCAGCAACTGCCGGCTTACTCAACAAACATCACTAACGAAGATTGGTAAGCATTCACCGTGTGCCATGCACTGTGCAAGTCTCTGGGAAGAGAATGATAAACCGTAGAGGGGTTTGAAAGAAAAAAAAAAACAGTTCAAATAACACATTGCTTCAGTCACAAATCTCACAGGCTGACTGATCGAGGAAGCAAACACGTAAACGTGAGGCGTGTTAAGTGCGCTCTCTTGGATCACTTTGTGCTAGCTTTATGAAGTCCTGTGACTTTGTTACTATCTCTGTCTTCCTACTTTTTCTTTGAATGTCCTTTTCCTAACAAGGTTATGGACTCCACGAGGGACACCGTCTGCTTTGCTAACTGCTCCATCCACACTGTCCTCAGCATAATTATTTAGGAAGTGGGAGAAAGAAAAAAAAAAAAAAAAGATCTGGGGAAGCCACTTGAGAAATTCAATGTGATATCATGTCTAAAGCCATTCAATGTTAAATGACATTTGCAGCTTAATCCTAAAAGGACAGGAAACCCCCAACCTTCCCTTTTTGCACAAACTGAGAGCTTTGCCTTCTTATAATTCTTTGCAAAGCAGTTAACCGCATCAAATCCCAGTCGCTGGACACCATTTTTTCTTGGCCTTGATTTTCCATGAGAAAATAATAAAGTCAGGTACCAGTTTTCATCCTCCTTGACTAAATTACATTAAACCAGCAACGATGAAAAAGCAAAAGCAAAATTGATTGGCTCCATTTCCCAGGTACACAAGGATGCTCCGTTGAAATAATAGCCGTAAGTATTTCATGGTTACAGTCTTTCTACACATTTCTGGTTTCAAGCTGCAGCTGTGCCCGGGTTGTCCTTGCCGTAAATATATCACCGGGGCGCATAATCTTGTTCTGTAACCTCCCGCAAATCCCAGGGACGTGCAGAATTCATCAGCTCCAAGGTATGTGAGGCTGGAGTTCGAAGAGAAAAGCCTCTCCCTCTTACGATTCCAAACATATTAAGGAAACACCCTCTGCAGGGATTTTTTTTTTTTTTTTTTTTTTTTTACTGATGGGTCCCTTTCACCATAGTGATGTGGAGGTGTGTTTAATTCTTTTACCAAGAGGACTTCAGGGAAACGGGGATCCTGAAGGAACACAGAGTTTTTGCAGGTATCTGCCATTAATTTGTTCTGTTTTCCAAAACCTGATCCCCAGGAAAGAAATGCGGCAGGAATTATAATTGAAAACAGTGAATACTGGTTAGGTTGAGATGATATTTTTTAAAAGGTATGCATTTATCACTTCTACAAATCAGAAAATAAGATGAGAAGGGTGTTCTTAATGTGGGAAAATTTCAGAGATTCTCCAAGTGTGTGTGTGTGTTTGTTTGTTTAGTTAGTTAGTTTCCAGAATGAAGGGAAGGTTCAGGAAGCTTGTTGCCATAAAATAAACAGGCCCTTAGGCTCTGAAAATCAGCCCAGTAGTAAGTAGCTGAAATTTTCTAGCATTCTGGCCTTATTTGAGATGATTATATTGCTTTCTCAGGTCAGAACTTGTCTCAGAGAACCGAGTGTCAACTTTCCGCTTAAAGATCAGGCAGGCAGGAGTCAGTATGTCTGGTTACACAGGACTCCATCTGCCCTTGACCTGTAGCTTTACACTTGTTCTTTGCTGCAGAAGCAGTTTTTCCAAAAGATCTCAGAATGGTGCTGGTGCGTAGGAAAGAAAACTTCATCTCGTGATCTCTCCCCGAGCAACAGATGCCTCTATGATAATAAGAAAATAAGAATATTATTGAATTGTCCTAATGGCATCAACTTACTACCCTCAAGTCTGGTATTTTTCAAAGCCCATTAAAGGCTGGAATCCATGGCTTTTTTAGAAGCCCTTTCGCCTTCTCCAGAAACACAAAGGAGAAGATTCTACCATTGTGTACGTTAAAATAGCATGTCTCCAAAGGATTTGAATAATCATTTATTATTGAACTATAACCTCACATCATCACGTTATAACTTTCCTTAAGAGCAGTTTATACTGTGTATAGAAGAGACAGAAACAGGCAGAGACAGAGACACACAGAGAGAGAGAGACAGAGAGAGAAAAGAAGATAGGAAGATTACTAAAATCTTTCAACTGTCTAAGTGTGTTGAGGTAATTTGATCTTTTCCTCTGGGGCACACAGGGAATAGTATTTACTGAGACTAATGTTACCAATATGGTGAAAATTCCACCCTTGATATATAAGCTTTGAAATGCTGACGAAGTCAGCGTAAATAGTCACAGCTCACCTGCTCGGCTTCCTCAGGAAAGACGTACCAGAGGCTCTACCTTCTTTCCTACCAACCCCCCTTTCTCTTCACATACCTTCTGCCACAAAAGGATATTCTAAATTTATAATTGAATTATAGGCAGTTGGAGAGCCCAGCCACTGAAGTAAATTGGTTTCCATAAGTCACGTTTGTGATTTGCACATGCTGGAAAAGCCACGCAAGAACTGTAATTTTTCATGATAGCTCACCATTGAAAACACTTAATTTGGGAACAACACATACAATCCCAAACCCTATACCTGGCATGTGGGATTTGGCTATCTTTTTGCAAAGATCCATTTTCTTTTATACCCGACTCTTAATTCATATGATGAGAATTGGGATAATTAAAACCTAATTTCAATGGAGAAGTTCTGAAAATGCTTACAAATTGGTTACCCTCTAGTTCACTGTTAAAAAAAAAGAAATTGAATAGGTTCAGAACTGTTGGTATGGATTCAATTCACCATATGTCCACTTAATGATTATTTGGAAACAACGAGGAACAGACCTCCCACAGACAACTCTCTTTATACTAGATTTCTTCAAAGCGTGGGCTCAGAATACAATATGTTTTGAACTTGAGAATGGATAAGAAGCTGGCCCCAAGTGGACGAGTAAATGAATTTAGTTGGTCCTTGGACGGTTATACAGAAAGACCTTCATACAATATATGCAATGAATTGTAGCCTTTTATCCCTTTGTATTCAAAGGCATTATACACTCGGTATAAGAAAATGTGGAGGGAGAGGGTCATAATGCTGAGTAGAACTGGGGGCATCTCTCCTGTAAAATCTGTGCAGTTCCAAAGAATCTTGACTCCAGAGAGAAAAGATCTGGGTGTAAGTTTGGCAAATTATTCTTTAAATTTTAGCATCCTTATTTCCATTATAGTGATAAGGTAACAATTTCTCTTGGTTCGTGTGAAAATTAAAATAGACCAGATGTTAAAAAGGTGACTTACAAAACATAAATCACTATGTAAATGGGGATCTTTATGTTATTTGAATTACAAGCTAGAAAAGGTCTGGGGCATCAAGATGGTAAAATAGTATTACTTATTTCAGGATCATTTCAGTGATGGGCTGGAGTTGGCTCCTGCTGGAACTGGTTTGTACTGGCTTGTGAGAGCTGATTATCCCATTTTCAGGAATTATATGAGCCAGTTGACATGGTGTTGGTGGCTTGAAATCAGCCAAGGCAGGGGTGTTGATATCATGGAAATGGGAGAGTACTACAATCAGGATTTGTTCCTTGCCCCTTCCCTCTCTCTCCTGACAGCCGGTTGACTGGGACATCACTGGAAACTCATTCTGTATGCTTGGGCAAAGTTCCAGCAATCTATTGCTCTGTGTGACGAAACCACTCCAAAATGTAGCCGTTTAATACAACAGCAACCATCTATTACATTCAGCGCAGCGACTGGTCTCAGCTGGGTGGTTCTCTGCTTCAGGGTGGGATCAGCTAGGGCCGCAGTCATCCAGAGACTTCACCGAACAGGAATATCCCAGATAGTTTCTTCTCATGGTTATCAGTGGGTATGAACTCCTGACTGGGAGCTCACCTGGGACTGTCTACAGAAGCCCCTGGTTCGCCTCCATCTGGCCCCTCCTACTTCTTGTGCTTCTTACAATAATAAAGCGGGCCTTCCGGGTTGGAACATTCCACGTGCGAACGTAGAAGCTGGAGACCTCGATGGCCCAGGCTTGGAGGTAACAGTATTACTTTCATCACATTCAACTGATCAAAATAAATAACTGCCAAAGATGTTGTCGCTAAGGTTGCTGAATCACAGATATCATGGTATCTGAATCCACATAAGCTCAAGAGTGTTCATGAAGTTCGATGCCAGTATCTTTAATGATTTCCTCCTCTAACTTCTTCTTTAACTGGAGATAAGTTTTATTGCTTTCTGCTACATATTTTACCAAACTTAAAAGTCTCCCTTCATCTTCACGTGTCATCCACACAACTGGACACGTAGACCAGACTATTGAGGATTTACTGAAAATAGAATTTAAAAACTTTCCTGCATATCCTCTAAAACACAATAGATTCCTAAGAGAGTATATCGAGGATTTTGAAGAATGAAAAGGAGCTAATCTTGGGCCACTTGGGTGACTCGGTTGGTTAAGCGTCCAATGGTTTATCTCAGCTTAGGTCTTGATCTCAGGGTCATGAGTTCAAGTCCTGCATTGGACACTGTGCTGGGTGTGGAGCCTGCTAAAAAAAAAAAAAAGGAAAGAAAGGGAAGGAAAGAAAAAAGAAAAGAAAAGCTTATCATAAACTTAATTAGGAATTGTTTGAGTGACTTCAAGTTTGTGAGGTGACCAAGGCAGTCTCACAGACATCTTGAAACAGAGAAGGAAATACAGCTGGGTTAGATATAGAGCGAAATGCTGCACCACCATCCAATCTAGGGAGGCCCTGTTGGTCTGCAAACATCACAGGAAGAGCACAGAAACGTGGTGTGTGTGTGTCAGTTACGATGCTCCCAGCTGCATCTAGGTAAATAGAAAACCTAATTCAATGAGATTTATCATCTCACAAAATAAGAATTTTTGAGTTTGGTCGTTGCAGCGTTGGTTAATTTAATAGCTCAATCACGTCACGGGTTGTGGGCCTGCTCCTTTGTGTTTTCCAGAGGCATTACCCTCACAGTGGATGGCAATATATGGCGTTGCCCAGATCCAAACACTAAATCTTCGTATGGTGAAGTCTTAAGGGCAGAGCAAAAGATCAGGCGGGAGGAGGAGGAAGGGCAGTTCTGTTTCCCCCATCTCTCTTTCTCTCTCTTTTCTATCTGAGAAGAGAAATATTTCCCACGCCACTTATCAGATGCAAAGGGGAATGAATTAACCATAGTCCAGTTTGAGCCAATCCCCTGGAATGCTGGGGAAGACTGTCTTTCTTGAACATGTCGTTATCTGATATCTGAGCCAACTGTAGCTGTACTGGCAAGAAGGAAGGGGGATATGGCTACGGGAGGTGGGGAGGCAACCAGTAACGTCTTCCAGGTGGATTCTTAACATGGCAGCCTGGCTCTGTGGGACTGATCCTTCTAGAAGTGCAAGAACATGGTGCAGACCCTAGAGCTAGGCGCAGGACTCTAGACAAATGGACTGGAGTTCAGGACAGTGTCCACAGAGCATTGAATGGCAGAAATAAGCCGACTTAGGTCAACTGAGCCCTTACTAGGCATTGGCCCTTCCAACATCACATTTCATACTCTGAAAGAAAGGTACTATTATCTCTGTTTCAGGAAGGAGGCTCAGAGAGAAAGCTGTTAAAGAGTTAGTGGAGCTAGAAATTAAAACTCGTGTCTTTTTAATTCCAAGGATGGTCTGGCTCAACACCATGCTGATGATAGCCATTTCAAGTTCCACTTTATGCTGGATACCATTCTTTTCCTCATTTATCTCTCCAAATCCTCCCCCTCTCACCCTCCCCCCCCCCCCCCCCCGCACTACTGTTGAAAGGCAGGAGAGCAGAGAGCAATAAGAACCAGAACACTCCTTGTTTTATAATATATATACCAATCCACTGTCTCAAAATTCTGTACTGAAGGAATAATGAGAAAAGCAAAAAAACAGCCATACAAACAATGGGGACAGTGCATTGCGGTTTCTTATTTAACGTAACTGACCTCATCAATTTGGCCAATTTAAGGTGAACTGGTGGTTGGATGCATCAATATCAAGGGTGAATACCCTGAATACTCAGATAAAAACTCAAATTGGTTTTGAAATTCAGAATTATTTTGATATTGGATATTTTCACGGTTAATGGTACCAAGAGACCTCACTGCATAAGTGCTTTGACCTCAGAAATTTGGTGAGATACAGAAGAAGATTACCTGTATGTCCTTATTCTTTCAAGCTGTCTGATGGAGAAAGTAGCTGGATGATTGACCTCCGCTATAGAGGACATTTCAGCAAGAAAATGGTCATTAGACTCTTCATAACGCTTTCTCCACTAGGCAGCCAAGTTGATCAAGATTATTATGTTTTCATCTGAGTCTTCAGAAGGCCGCTGTATAAAGGCTCCTCTCTTTGGGAAACCTTTCAAGAGGAGCTTATTCTGGGAAAATTTCTTGGTGGTGGTGGTGGGGGAGGGTTGGGGAAGGTAGCAGGGGTCATTTTTGCCAGGATATTTTCAGCCCATAGATTAGGTTGTGTAGGGGCTACAAACACATTCCCCTCTGTTGAATAGAGTGAAAGAAACTTACATCACTCCCCATAACATTTTCTAACATATAATGTTTCTTTTTTTTTTGACATACAAGCTATGTTGGTAGGATGGCGAATATCCAGGGGGAATTGCAAAATTCAGGCAATGACTCAGACCCCTCCCCACCATCCCCAAGAGCTTTAATATTCATTTCATTGAAATATTTTGCAAATAACCAGATAATTATTGCAGCTTTCATCCTAAAAATCATGCCATTTAGATGGTACTTCAACTTAGAACTGCGTAGGTGATATCATATTTATAACTTTTTTTTTTTTTTTTAATTCCACCTACAATGCCTTATTCTCAGTAAAAAAGATCGGGAACTTGGTGATAATGGATCACAAACAAAGAAACAACAACAAGAAAAACTACCCAATGGTGCCTTTATCCTAGTTTCTCTTGGCTCAAAATGTCTTTAAAAGTGGCAAGCACTTCCCCAGGGAGACCATGCAGCCAACAGCTTGAAAACACAGTGCGTTTAGAAGCCTTTGGCTGTGAGAATGAACCAAGGTGATTACTAGGGCGCTTGTTTGGCCGAGTCTTTGTTCCATTGGTAGAAGGGCAGCAGTGAAATGTGGAAGAAAAACGAATTCTAGTAAAAGAAAAGCAACGCAAACAAAACACATTGCGCCAGCTACAGTGGTTCTTGGGTTCTGGTAAATTAGGACAATTGTCCCCAGTGCCCATGTGTGGGGTGTGTGTGTGGCACAGGCACGTGTTGAGGAGGGGGAGGGGGCCCTACTGCAGCTGGGCATCTGGAGGAGAAAAAAAAAGAAAAAAAAAAACCCCTCCAGCTGTTGCCAAACAAGAGTGGGGTCTAATTCATACATAATGCAGCCAGTCAATTATGCGTGCCCATGCATATTATCAGACATATATGTCGCAGAGGGAACAAATAGCCATTTTCAACCTCAAGCCCTTCTAGGGAGGGTAGAATGAAAGGCCCTTTTGTCCTTTTGTGTACTTTGAAGGTGGGTCTGCAACTGGGTCTTTAAGAAGGGCCTGGAGAGAAACCTCGGGCTCCATCAGGGCCGCTCCCCACCCCTACTTTGATCAGTCAGGAAGGGAAACATTTTGAAGCATATGTTAATAAAGTATGTATCTGATTACTAACCCACTTCCACGGGAAGCACACACTCTCTGCTCAGTTTTCTCTTAGGACTTCATGCACAATGCCGTCAGAAAAATGTGTCTTAAGCCTCTTCATCACCGATTCTTTCTCTTCAATCTCCTTCAGCCATCATGATCAGGAAGACGCTAATTTCCTGCTTTAGTAAGGAAAGTTTTAGCTTCCAAAATGGCCCAGACTTTACTTCCTGCTCTGTCTTTTCAACCCCCTTTCTTTTGGAGGGTACAAGAACAGCACGCTTCTGTAATAACAAAGGGACGATTTCAGAGGTGTTTTCGCAGCCAACCCTGCCCGCCATCTTTCATGGAATGGCCACATTTTGCAGTCCTGTGTCTGACAGCTATCTAAAGAAAATCAGAAAGCTGCTCAGTGTGGACATTAACCAAGTTCATACATTGTGAGGACATCTGATGAATCTATACGGTGATATTTAGTAACATCCCTGCCCCTCCTCCTCTTTCTAAAATCTTCACTCTCTCCTTGCTGCTTCTAGCCGCAGGGTATAGTAAAGACAAACATATTACATTGTAACTCTGATCCCAGGTCAGGGGTGATTGGTTCAGGGTTGGCTAACGAAGTGGGATATATTTTTTTTTCCTTGGGACAAAGAAAATAGGCCAATCTTTCTCTTCGGAGCTGTAAAGTTCCAGGGATGTTGGCTGTAATGTTTTCCACATGTGGCCAAGAGAAAGTGAATCCTAACAGTTTTGTTGTCCTTGGTCACATTTTTTCCCCCCTTGAGATCAAGTAATATTCTTTTCTTAGTGTTCATGCATGAAACAGTATAAAGAAGTATCCTTATTCATCATAAATTAGCTTCTGTGTTTCAGCTAGTTTGAATTGAGTTTCTGTCCCTTGCTGAGAAAAGAGTCCCAACTAATAAGGCAGCTATCTTTCAAAATAAAGTCAAACTTTGCTCCTGGCGTGGGTCTGTGCTCCTCACTGGGAACAGAGGCAGCCTCTGACTTAGACAAAAGAAAGCAGGATTTAGTGCCAAGAGTTGTTTTCAATTCCTGTTTCGTCTTTTACTAGCTCTGTGCCTTTGGGGAAATCACTTAACCTCTCTGATAATATTATCTCCCCTGTGGTATTGATTTTAAGTTTAGAGATAGCATGTGTAAGGTAGCAAGAGTAGCATAGGTATCCAATGGATGGTAATTATACTCTAAAAATAACTATTGCAATACTTAAAAGAGCTCTCAAAAGTGTAAAACTGCAAAGCAGACTCAGTTTATTGGGCACATTTCTTTTTTTTCTTCCTTTGCTCTCCTCCCCCCTTCCCTGCTTTCCTCCTTCTTTCCCCTCCATCCTTCCTTTTCCATTTATTTCCCTTTTAGGGACCCAGAGAGT